TGGATGGATGGACTGTCCTTAGCTAGACAACAGAGAATTGAAGCACCTGAAGGCAGTAGTAATAGAGATTGGAGCAGAACAACGTGCAGGACTGAATTCAGCTAAGAGTTCGGACAGTGAAGTGTGTGTGTGTGTGTGTGTGTGTGGGGGGGGGGGGGGATTAGGACGCTTGACAGAATCGGAGCTGCTCTATTCACTTCTCTCTAAAATAGTCATTTCAATTCAATCTTTATTTATACAGGTTGTTAGTCTCATTGAGCCTCCAGGACTCATTTACAAGAGAGACCTGTTTTTAATCAGTTTAATTAAATATTTACAGATAGAGGAGTGGTGGCGCAGAGGTTAGAGAAGGTGGGCCTCTGATCGGAAGATCGCCGGTTCAAGCCCCGGTACTGACAACATCAAAAATGTGGGTGTGGTAGGTGAAGCACCCACATCTGCCCCCACCCTCATTCGTCCCACTCTGGGCCCTTGAGCAAGGCCCTTACCCCCCACCATCTGCTCCTCCGGGTGTCCTAGATAGCAGCTCTCTGCTCCACACAGAGGGCTGTGGTAGCTCAGTGATCTGTGGTTGCATCAGGAAGGACATCTGGCGTAAAAACTACTACCAAGTCTTCGTTCGACAGTTCGCTGTGACGACCCCTAATGCAGGGAGCAGCCTAAAGAAATATAAAATATACTTTGTATATATATATATATATATATATATATATATATATATATATATATATATATATACACAGATGTTTAATAACCTGTCAAAAAAGCAGGATATGGCATCTCTTTTATTCTGGGAGAGGAACCACGGTCACCCCCCACCCCTCTCTCCCCTGCCGGACCACCTGCCATTTGTGTTCCTGCATCAATTGGTTTACAAATTAAGCCCTGCTAAAAAGGTCGGTCAACCTTCACGAACAGGCAAACATAAGATTTATGTCACAGGCATGACTAAGCATGCTTCCACCTTTAGACACTGAAAACTGCTCCATTATTGCATGAAGAGCAGGTGAAAGAGAACAATGTCCAGGATCTGCTCCTCATGGTCCAGATGAAGGTAAGATGTTCACTTTGGTTCTGGAGCAGCTCCTTATCCGTACCTCTAAAAGGCTGTGATGAAAGTGTGAGTATTCTTCTTTTCATGCTTCATTTCCGCCTCTTAACAACCTATTCTGACTGACGCAATCCCTCATTCTCACCCCCTTAACTGTGAATAAACCTGCGAGCTCAGTTGGCTGTGACGTGGTTTAAACTTCATCTGAACAACGGAGGGAGGCAGCAAAAGAAAGAAAAAACGATTTCTTTAATGCTTGGCTTTTACATAATGTGCTGCGTTCATTCTGGTTGTGAAGACAACCCACTGAGACGGTGAAGCAAAACACGAAAGACATGCTGATTTTAGATTTTTGACACAAAAATCTTCTCCCGTCTTCAGTCCAAGCTAAAGAGGACAAAGGAGAGGACTTTTTGAAGGGTTTCAAAGTTTATTTAGCTAACAAATTGAGTTTACGTGTATACATGTCATTATGTAGATGGTTCTAGATATATGATGTTAGATCATAAAAACTTGTTACACCATATTTTTGTGCCTGATGTTGTCAATCCAGAGAGACGCTGGTTGTTATAAGATCATTAAAAATGAACAAGGACACCCTTTGAAGTTTTTGTTAATCTTTGCTCCATGTTTTGAATCAGGACCAGAAAAAGAAGAATTTGCTTTGATGCTGTAAAAAGATCAATGAATTTATCTGCATGTTTTCTTGTTATGGCAGCTGTTCTTTCAGTGGATCACCTGTGTTCTGTCGATCCTTTTCCTCTGTCCCTCTGCGTGTCCTGCTTCACTACATCCATGAACCTGTCCTGTCTTCAGGTGTATCAGTGCCTCCATCACAGCAAGCCTCAACATCTTATAAAACGTCTGTTTTCCTCTTGAAGCAGAACAAATCACCCCGACACTCATCTCCATCCGCTCCACCCTGCCTGTCCTCTCGTCTTCACCTCTCACTGCCTTCTACTTTGGACAATTGTCTTTCTTGGGGACTTTCATTCCTCTTTTCTCTACATCATACCACCATCTCTCCAGGCTCTCTTCCACTTGCTCCCTACTCTCACTGCAGATCACAGAGTTGTCTGCAAACTTCATGGTCCATGGGCACCAGTGGAAACAAGAAGCCAAACACTGACGGGACTTTTTATGAACCTGCATTTGTTTTGAAACACCAGGAAGGCATATTCTGATATTTTTCAGGGAGTTGTGTTATCTTTGTTGTTTCTTTACCCACGTCTTCCTTTCTGGGTCACTGGTGCCCATATCCAGGAATCACTGTGCGAGAGGTGGGGGACACCCTGGACAGGTCTCCAGTCCATCACAGGGACACAGAGACAAACAACCATTCAATCTCTCACTCACACCTAGGGACTATTTAGAGTTACCAATCAGTCTAACATTCATGTTTTTGGTCTGTGGGAGGAAACCGGAGTACCCGGAGAAAACCCACGCATGCACGGAGAGAACATGCAAACTTCACCCAGAAATCCAGCCACGTATTGGAGTTGACAATGTCATCATCTACCTGCTGCACAGAGCTCACACACACCTGGACAGGGCAGGCAGCACTGTAAGAGTCATGCTCTTTGACTTTTCCAGTGCTTTTAACACCATAAGACCTGCTCTACTCTGTAGTAGTAAGCTCCTGGACATGCAGGTGAACGACTCGCTGGTCACCTGGATCAGAGACTACCTCACAGGTCGGCCACAGTATGTGAGGCTGCAGAACACCACCTCGGATACCATACTGAGCAGCACAGGGGCTCCTCAGGGGACGGTCCTCTCACCTTTTCTGTTCACCCTCTACACCTCAGGCTTCAGGTACAACTCACAATCCTGCATCTGCAGAAGTTCTGGATGACTCTGTCATTGTGGGCTGCATCACTGGTTGAATAGTTGGTGGAAGTTGAATACAGAGGTGTGGTGGACAGAACCACCTGCAACTCAATGTTGGAAAAAATAAAAAGCTGCAGGTGGACTACAGGAAAATCAGTCCCCCCAACCCTATCAACATCAAGAGTACTAAGGTGGACACTGTGGACTGCTACAAGTACCTGGAGGTCGACTGGACAGCTAACACCAACACCCTCTACAAGAAAGAGCAGAGTCGCCCTTTTCTTCTGAGGAGACGCAGGTTCTTTAACATCTGCAGGACCATGCTGCAGATGTTTTACTACTCGGTGGTCTCCAGCATCTTCTACGCTGTGGTGTTCTGGGGCAGCAGGGTGAAGAAAACTGATGCCAGCAGACTCGATAAACTCATCAAGAGAGCTGGTTCAGTTCTGGGAGTGGACCTGCAGTCTCTGACAGGTGTCTGGGCAGAGGATGCTGAGGAAACTGCTCCAGATCCTGAACAACACGTCACACCCCCTGCATGACACGCTGGACTCCCTGCAGCACCTCCAGTCGTAGACTGAGACCACCGAGGTGCTCCACAGAACAACACAGGAGGTCCTTCAAACTTTTCAACTCCTCCCCTTTCTGCACATCAGATAATAAAATTATCCTGCACTACAATAAACTGTTTAATGTTCCTGTCTGCAGCTGTTTTAGAACTTAATTGTTGGTATTTTTATTTTCTCTGTTATTGTTTTATTGTTGTGTTATTCCTCGTGCATGTTCCTTTGTACTGAAACTCTGGCACAACAATTTCCTGTGGGATTAATAAGGTGCCATCTTATCTGATCTTATTTTATCTTAAGGTCCCTGGCTGGGATTGGATCTGGCAACCTTCTTGCTGAGAGGCAGCAGCTCTATACCAACTGTGCCACCACCAAACCATCCTTTGAAAATTAAATATTCACTAAATACTATTTAAATATCTAAACTCTCCTGGAACTCTAAATTTAAGATGCATTCAGACAGAAGGGACTTACTTTTAGTGAATCTTTTATTTTTAATAAAGTTATGTCAGGTGTGCAGGGTCTGGTATGAATATTTGTGGAAACCAGGTTATTTGAGGGCCCGTTGATAAAATGTATGAAGTAAGAGTGACTCAACATTCATGAGCTGATGAGCTGAGTAATCACATAAACGCACAGCCAGGTGGCCATCTGTTGGTGGTGAGAGACCGGGGTATAAATTCATGAAATGAAGATCTGAGTAATCACAGAAACTCTCAGTTGATCATTAGCTCATTTTAGGGATTCATGACAGTCCTTGTTTTCATTATTAGGATTTCTCAATACTCGACATCCTTGTTATGAAGTCCATTTAATCAGGCTAGTCTGTAATAAAAGTCTCATGGAGATTAAAGTCCACTGGATGTGTTCTTATTATACAGAGAGATCCACTTTCACTGAAATGAGCCTCACAGCAAAAACAAAACCTGCAGGGTGTTCATTGATTCCACACAGGGACTGTTTTTTATATTCCACAATAAGCCAAACGGATCAAAAACAAGATGCTTATCATCATAGAACGCTTCTTTAGAGAGCCAACAAATAAAAAAGCACAAGTGTTTATTGGATTTTTAATATAAAAGTGTCTGTGGAGGAGAGTGGGCTCATTTTCTGCGCGTCATCTGTCAGTGAGGAGGAGCCCTCCCCTCCGGATCACAAGGAACCAGCACCTCAGAGGATGGATGAAGCAGACTGAAGCAACAGCTGCGGAGGAAACACCAGCTCCAGGTGAGATGTTGCTTCACCCCTCTTAACCAGTTTATTAGATTTTATTGGTTTATTCAGAAATAATGCGGAAAACTGCAGATTAATACAAGTTAATTACCTCTAATGGTTTGCACCTTTATTCTTTTTCCCCCCAATCAGCCAAGCTTTAAGTCATAATTACTCCTAATTGCTTCTTAATAATAAAACGATGCTTTGACTGAAGTTTCGTTTCTGAAAAGGTTCAATTCCTCCTTTTCTCCCGGACTTCAGCTGCAGATGGGGAGGGAGGACGGAGTTTAGCAGGACTCTGTGTCCACCTGTCCCGTCCCGGAGGGGAGACCCGGACCATGTTCCACCAGCTGACGGAGCAGGCGGGGAACAGCAGCTGTCAGGGAGCAGCCTCGGACTGCAGCTGGAGCGCGGATGGAGACGCGCTCCAGCTGCCCACCTTCTCCACGGCGGCCAAAGTGCGCGTGATCATCACCTTCTCCCTGTGCGCGCTCTCGGCCGTCTGCAACCTGCTGGTGCTGTGGGCCGCGGGCAGGGCGGGCAAGCGCAAGTCCCACGTCCGGATCCTGATCATGAACCTGACCGTGGCGGACCTGCTGGTGACTTTCATCGTGATGCCGGTGGACGCGGCGTGGAACATCACGGTGCAGTGGCGGGCCGGGGACGCCGCCTGCAGGCTGCTCATGTTCCTGAAGCTGGTGGCCATGTACTCGTGCGCCTTCGTCACCGTGGTCATCAGCCTGGACAGACAGTCCGCCATCCTCAACCCCCTGGGGATCACCGAGGCCAAGAGGAAGAGCAAAATCATGCTGTCTGTGGCGTGGACCATGAGCGTGATGCTGTCCCTCCCTCAGGTAGGAGGAGAACACCTCTGCACATCAAACTTCTCCAGTTCTCTTAATCTTAGCAGGAGGAGAATAAAACCAAGCTCAGAGAAGCTCTTAACAAGGTTAAAAAGAGTTCATGGAAATTATGAAATAAAACATGAAGAAAGTTATCCTTAGTTAAATCAATCGGTGCAGTTTGAAGGAGTTTACTCCAGTAGTTTTCCAGATATTGACTTGTAATTCTGAAATGCGGGCATGCACTCGATGTAAACAAAGCACTCTGAACCCATCAAACAACTAACTGAAGCTCGAGTCATGTGACCGACCAGGCTGATTATAGTCTGTGTAGGTGAACAAATGAACATATGTGATTCAGTAAGACTACAAGATGAGGTCACAGGTCAACGGTGATTAAAAAAAAAAAAAAAGGTGCCTCGTAACATAAAAATCTATGCATTTTCTCAATTTTGCATAACATTCATTTTCATTCAGAAAGATTTAATTGGCTCCTTCAAAAGTCAACGCAGCCCCCGCATTGTTCAGTTCAACAATTTAGTTGCAAATATTACACCTAAACCCTAGGAACTTGTGATCACTGTCCATGAAGGGATTGGTCCCAGATGCATGCAGGCATGAGGAGTTTGAATAAAATAAAACTCATTTATTATATAAATGACAACAAAAGGTTGATGTGGCAGCAGCAATTCACTAAACACAGGAGAGTACAGGAGGGAGCACTGAGACATGTGGCAGGTGTCCAACACAATGAAGAGATGGTTTAAATAGAACGGAGGGTGAGTGGAAAGTGATCACACCTGGGTGATTACTAATTGAAAACAGGTGTCTGACTGAAGAACAACTGAGGCCGAGGGTAAAATGAGAACAAGAAAACAGGAAGCTGCACCAAAACACAAAACAGAAGAATGAAACATAAACCAGCAGGAGAAATAAAGCTACAAGATAAACTAACTAAATAACTGGAAAAGCACAGACCTGCTGGATTTATTTCCATCCTGACTGACCCTGAGATCACAACCTTTGACAAATGAGAGCACAGATACGTGACGACACATTAAAATTCTTGGACCTCTTGATCCCAAACAAGCTCTTTCAAAGACATTGACCTGTTTTCAGTCACTTGCTGTGTCTGTAAACAAACACATGCAGGGGTTGGCATCTTGATTTTGCTTATAAGTTTTAAAGTTAGGGACATGTTAACCATCATCAGGAGGAATAAAATGTGTAGATTTATGCATTTTTTTCTGGCAACGAGTCCGTTTAAATTTTTCATATGACAGGAAGAAAACAAAACCGATGAAAGCACATCAAATGTAACTGCTGAAAGCTCCAAACCGAGGTTGAAAGGAGCTGAAACTGGGCCTGGAGGTCTTTCATTAATGAGAGATGCAGAACCTTAAATGAGGCGGCTAAATTAAATCAGATCTCTGATCAGGTGCAGTATGGAAATACATCATCATCCCTGCAGGATACAAAAATTAAGAAGAATAACAGCTCATTAAGTCTCAAACCATCCAAGAGCTCAATAAAGAAACATCAATTTACACAGTTTGATGTAAATTAGCATCAACCGTGCAATGGGTCTGGAAAAATAACGTGTTTTTAAGTATTTCCACTTAAATTAGCAAGTACCAGTTCTACAGAGAAGGTATGTGTATTTTGAGAACCCTGACATCTAAAAATATTTGCTCTGATTTAGTTTTTTTCAAATAATATGCATAAAGTTGTGTAAATTAATCTTTACAACAGGTGTTGGAGGATTTTAATATTTTACCTGATCGTCTAATCACACAAGTTCTCCCTGCTTAAAATGCTTTCCTAATAAATAAAATTAAAGATGAATATATATATATATATATATATATATATATATATATATATATATATATGATGTTTTTCTAACCTTTTAGGGATAGTTTTCTTGTGGTTTATGAACAATTAACATCTTACCTGGTGTAGATAGCTCTTTGAATGACCTCAGTTCTGATTGGATCGATGAGCTTTGAGTTCAGCCAGAACCAAAAAGGACTGCCATCACTTAAATCACCTCCAGAGTCAAAAACCTTCAGAGCTTTTCATGAAAACATCACCAAAAATTCTGCATTAAACAGATTTTCAACCATAAATCTCACGTTGTTATTGCTAAAAGTACCCAAGGACACACTGAAACTGGAAATGCACCAGCCAGCTGCTGCTGCAATCTATTTATTTTTGTAAATGACCACAGGATTCTGTGTTAACATCCATGTAATGCCAATTTGAAGGATGAGGTTTATAAAGGAGTGTTCACAGGAATCACAATAAAAGCTTTGAGACTGGAGCTGTTTTAAGGCAGCTGCAGTTTACTTTCACTCAGACGAGTCATTAACTTGTCACTCCGGTCAGAATTAAATTCCATTTCTCCAAACTGAGGCTGTTCACAGAGCCATATCTTCAACAGATAAGATGATCATTTCCACAGAACCCCACTTCAGAGGATCTGAACTAGCTCCTTAACCAAGAGCGGCTTGTTTATTTAAAATAATCGAGCGCGACCCAAACCAAGCTTTGGTCCAGTCCCTCAGCGGGCACTGAGCAGGCCAGGCCACCGGGAAATGTCCTAGTACTTCCGACAGCCAGTTCGCCCCATCCTTAATGGAACTACCTCCATCAGTTCAGTTCTTTTTGCGCCCATGCTTCACCAAAACAATCAGAAAAATATATTTATTTTTTAATGGAGACAAAACAACAGGACACTTTTTTTCACCTTGAGCTTTACTTTTAAACAAGATTGATAAATATTTTGAATTCTAATATCACAGAGATATTTTTGTACTTCTGCTTTCCTTTTAGTTTCATCTTTGTTCTTGTTCTTTAAGGCTCGTGCAGTTCTTACAGGCTCATTAGAGTCGAGGCAGCAGCTTCTCGGTTCACACAGCATCTCTGGGTGCTGTGAGAGTTTCTGCAGTAACATCTCATTTTGAAACAATGAACCATACAGTTTAAAGATCTGTTACCGGCTTATATCAAGAAAAGAGTTAAAAAGATTTACCAGGAGCTTCAAAAGGCATGGAGTCCATGCTGGATGCTCAGCATGGCATGAAGCAATAAAGAGCTAAAGGTTAATTTTTGGTTAACAATGGTGTGCCACAAGGCTCTGTCTTAGGACCCACCATCTTCAAAATCTACATAGGTAATCTAGATCAGACCAACCCTGATGCATACTTACATTTCTATGCTGATGACACAGTTGTTTATTGTTGAGCTAAAACAGTTCCTAAGGTTTTCCAGCTTTTGCAGTCCGCCTTTGACATCATCCAGTCAGATTTGTTCCGTCTCAAATGTGTCCTAAATGCCGATAATACCAAAGCGATGTTGTTTTCAAACAGGAAGTCGGTTCCAGCGGTTCTTCCTTCAAATTTTATCTTCAAGTGAACGATGCTCCTATTGAATTTGTTGATTCCTACAAATATTTGAGTATCTTGGTCAATTCACATCTCTCCTTTAAGCTCCACATGGAAAACCTAGTTAAGAAACTGAAAAGTTAAACTGGGTTTCTTTTTCAGAAACAGATCCTGTCTTACTCTGAATGCTAGGAAACACCTTGTAACTGCGACTTTCCTTTCACTCCATTGACTATGTTGATATTATTTACATGAACGCTCCTACAAGCACCCTGCAGATGTTGGACACTGTCTATCATGGTGCGCTAAGATTCATAACTGGCTGTTACTACCGTACCACCATTGCACCCTGTATTTACTGGTTAACTGGACATCATTAACTTCACACAGGCTCTCTCACTGGTACATTGTCATCTTTAAATCACTTCTTGGTCTGCTGCCTTCATACATCTCCTCCTACATGTCTCTGCGTGAGTGCAGCTACAGCGTGCGCTCTCAGGACATTATTACCTGCAGTGTTCCCTCAGTGCGGACTGAACTAGGTAAAAGGGCCTACTCCGCTCCTGTTTCCTGGAATATCTTACAAAAAGATCTGAAGCTCTCGACCTTGACCTCTAAGTGGCTTCAAACATCTGTTAAGTTCTTGGTGAAAACCAATGCAGACATGTTCCTGTCTTTAATATTCTACATCACTTTACAACCTAGCTGTTTTTGTTTCTTTTTTTAACCTCCTGAGACCCGAGCTCTAGTTTGCGATGCATTTTTCAAATATCTCCTAGATATTTGTGATTCGATGGACCTGATTTGTGTATAAATAAAGTTTCCTCTTCAAACAGGAAGTTGTATTTTGTTACATGGTTATGACAAACTTTTGTAAAATAAAAAGTCAGCAGATGGGGACAATGGGCTTATTTTACAGCACACCACAACAACATTAACAATGCTTAACAAAGTATAAAACACTACTGAACAGAGTCAAGTATAAGGTACAGCAAAGCCAGAATGTAATGTCCCCATATGTGGACGCAGGGTCTCAAGAGGTTAAATACCATTTTCTTTCACTTGTTCTTCTCAATTTGTATGCTTCCTTCTATGATCGTCTATTGTTGTCTTTGTTGTCCACTGTTGTCATCATTCTTTGTTAAAATCAGGTCTCTTGTGTAAATGAATCCCAGAGTCTCAATGGAACTAACTTGTATAAATAAACTTTGAATGAATGTAGATGAGGAGAAGCAAGGAAGGTTTATGTCTTGAAATACAACCCAAAACAACATGAAACGACTGGATGATCCTCACCGCAAAGAAAGAGCAGAAAATTATGAATGAAAATATAAACTAAAGATCCTTTGTTTCCAATTTTTACATTAAAGCTGAAAATCAATTTTTCTGCTCCGTTATGAAGCTAATCCTGAATGAGCTCACATACACATACTGTATGCAATGAACCAAGTCGTCTTTATTGTCCATTTTAAAGAACAGTGGCTGCAAACATGATGGTGAACACACACACTCAGCTAAAAGCTCTGATTTCATCAAACAACACATAAAACTCCTAATTGTGCTAATTAGAAAAAGGAGCCTATATTGGAATTTTGCTAAAAGGTGAGCTAAAGGTTAATTCAAATA